CTTCTTACCCACTAGAAGGCGATGAAAAGAGTCCAATTTAGCCTTTACCTCAGCAATCTGATTGCCATCCATCTTTCCAGAAAGTTTCTTCCTCTCAAAATCTGCATTCTTGGTACTATTGCTAGATGCCAAGATCTCAAACAATGTATAGGCGTCTTCTGGATACCTGGTGTTGAAGTTCCATTTACTGGCAGCATCTAAAGCCATCTGATACATCCAGTCAACGTCCCTAAATAAAATTCTTAGCAACGACACCTCATTGAAGCCATGGTGTGGGCATTTTCTCTGATATGCTCTGAATCTCACCCAAGCAGCCTTGAATACTTCATTTGGTCCTTCAAAGAAGGAAAAGATTTTCGTCCTCAACTCTTCTGACCTTGCATCATCATAGAATTTGTTGAGGAAAGTGTTCTTGGTGTTCTCCCAAGTAGTCAGTGATCCAGGCTGTAGTTGTTTCAGCCAATAAGCTGCATCTCCACCAAGAGAGTATGGGAAGACCTTGCAGAAAAGGAAGTCATTGCTGACTCCATGAGCCTTGATGCTTGTCACCAAATCCTCAAACTTCCCTATATGGTCCATAAGATTCTCATGAGGGAGACCATGAAAGACATGCTGACCCACAAGTGTGTAATATGCAGGTATCAGCTCAAAGTCATGTCTCTGGGAGGCAAGAGGATGGATTGCAGCTCTGTCTGCATAGAACTACTCAGGCCTGTTGTAGTTGCTATGTGTGTGCCCATGCCCAACAGCATTCCCTGCAGCTCATTGCTGCTCTTGCTGACCAACTTGTTCTACTGCTTGTTCAATTATTAGTCCCATCAGCAACCAGTTTCTGTCCTTGGGAATTTTGCCAATTCCTTTCTTCATCATGCAGCAGGCCATCTTCATCACGAATTAGCACGATCAGATTGATCATCTTGACAGGCTTTTTAGCGTTCATGTTTGTCCTTTCCAGGCGTGCTTGCACTTGATTATCTAGCCTGATTAGCTCTTGATCCGTGTTGCTTCTAGTACTGCGATTATGCATATACCTGAAACAGACAAGAGAATGTTAGTAACAAAAACAAAAAAAAAAAACAACACAGACAAATTCTAATACTAAAATTCTGTAGGGAACTATTAACTCCACGTCAACGGTGCCAAAAATTTGATAGGCTCAAAATTTTACCTAAATAATACTTCAGTAAGTGCACATAAAAACAGTTGTAATATAAAAGGTTATTGAATTCCAAGAGATTTAAAGAAGCCATACAACAGAAATTATATTCAAATTTAGCTAAGAGTAAATAGATGTAATGCAAGTAAACTAAAAGAAAGCAGCAGATGATCAATTTAAATGTTTTAAAATCAAGAAGACAAAACGCTAGGCCTTGGAAAATTCGCAGGATGAATTCAAAGTTACAGAATGAGAATGTCAGGATATTTAACTAAAAACCGTTCTAGAATTCGAAACACAAATTGTAAATCAATCAATTTTCGCTGCCGAAATTATTTATGTCTAAATCCTAGAATTCGAATTTTTTAACAAATTTAAACAATTTTGAGAAGCAGTAAAATCAGGGTCAATTGTTCAAAAAATCTCTAAAACAAATTCATTTGCAGATCGATATTTTGCTCGTCTAAAATTGGTTGTGGTGATTAACAATACTTCCGCATATATTAATCAACCTAAGATCTAATTTCTAGGTGATCAATACTAAAAACAGTATTAAAGAAATCTATATGAAAAACAAACAGATTAATCCTAACAATATTTCAATTATAACAACTCATAATGAACACTTGAAAAACTCAAAACCTAACTAGCAGATTACTCATATATGGTGAACAAAGAAAACATCATGAAATAAATAAACTGCCTAAGGGAGAAGAATAAGATACAAGAGAGGTTCAAAATTTTCTCTAAGAATAGAGTGTAGATTTGTCTCCCCAAAAGCTTCTAATCTAATCTCTCTCTAAGTCTCAATAGAAATAAATTAATACCTAACAATGGTTTTCAAACCCTAAATACAGGTCTGATACAATATGAAAAAAATCAGATAATCAAATATCTTCATAATTTCATAAAGCCAAAAGAAATTTGTATCAGAACTAAAAGCTCATATCCTCTATCTTTTTCATTTATGTTCTGTTTTTGTTTCACGTTTCATCAAGATTTCCATAAAAAATATAACTATTTTTTTTATTCATTAATTTCTGTAAACTTAAAAAAGACCATAAAAAATAGTTTTAAGGCTTTGTTCTTTGATTCGTGACTTTTATATAAAAAAACCCATAAAATCATTTTCTTTATTTTCTATTTTTAAAAAATTAATGGTTGTTTCTATTATTATTAAAAAAATGGTTACTATTTCTTTCTAGGATTTATTATTTAATTTCAAATATAAAAAAATTACAGACAAAGTTTTTTTATTTTTCTAAAAATTTTATAATAAAAAACAAAATCTGTTTTGAGGATAGAACCATTTAAAGAGGGACAGAATGATACAATATCAAAAATCAGATAATCAAATGTCTTCATAATTTTATAAAGCCAAAGGATTCTCGTTAAATTCCAAAGCAAAATTGGTGGCAAGAAGACATTTTCTCCTTTTGTTTAAATGTAAATCATTTATCTTAAATGTAATTTATTGTAAAGATTTCTTTTTCAGAGCTATAAAAGCTTATCTATTTTCATTGTAAAAATATGTTGAAATTTTTGGAAAATGAAAGAGAATTTTTCTCTAGGGAGCTTAGGTTTTGTTACTTTGTTCATTATAGATTGTGTGGAATCACTTCTCGTGTGTTATTGCAAAAACTTGAGTGTTTTGTGGAATCCGACACTTGAATTTTCTTGTAGAGACTTGCATCCCGCGTGAGGAATAGCTCTTGGGATCCTGCTTCTAATCAAGTTGGTCGTGGAATCGATCAGCAACACGTGTGTAGATTTTGGTGGATTCCGAGTCTTACATCAAAGCCTAAAACACGAGTAAGGCAAGTTTGCAAATAATAAAACTTCTGGAACAATCTTGTAAATCTTCAGAAATCTTTTTAAACTCTGCGAGTAAGTTCTTCCACAATCAGTGTCGATTGACACACATGAGTGGCATCGATCGACACTCTACTATAAATTCGTCTCCGACTTCATCTCTTTAGCGATAACACCCATAAAGAAATTTTGATGTATTCTGGTGCTTATTAATGATAATTTCAAATAAATGATAATTTCAAATATTAATAAAAGACATATTTCTGCGCAGAGAACGGGTTCAATGATTATTATAGACAAGAAAAGAAAACAATAGAAGCAAACAACCCGAGAAAAGCGGGGGAGTACTCTATACAGTGCGTTCTATTATTGCCTCTTATTCCCGAGGGAGTGGTCTGAATTTTTTTTTTAAAGAAGTATTTTAAAATCTCAATTAAGTGAGTTCTTACTATTTTTCATGTAATACATTTTTGTTTTCTGGATTATAGTTTTTTCTTTATAAATATTTGATGTATTCCATTTCAAATCTAAACTTTAAACTTTGATAAAAAAATATCTAACTTCTATGCATAAACATGTAACTAAAGTATATCGGGATTTCTGGGTTGCATAGATACATTATACAAATCATTTACACCTATTAACTATATTTGTTGAATTTCTTTAATTTCTTACATAACTTCTTAATTTCTAACAACAACTGACAATAATTAGAATTTTATATTTTGTTTTTTATAACCAAATTTTCAATATTTTTTTTCTTAAATATTATAAATCTATCTAATTTTAAATTAAACTCTCAAATATAACAAAACACAATCGATAAATGATACAATAATTATAAATACAAAACTACTAATTTAAAATAAACATCACACACAAACGAAACCAAAAATACAATTCATAAATAATACAATGTTCACATTCCAACAAACAGTTAAATCATACAATAAACATACTCAACTAATATATTAATAATATAAAGAAGAAAAATTAAACTTTTTAATAAAACTTAAATTTAATAAATTTACCCTCCACTTAGAGCGGGCAAAATCCTAGTTTCTATTATGTGACTACAGCCACATTAATATTCACAAATAATTGGATTGGATTTACTAATAGATCTGTAATCAAAATATGAATTTGCCATTTTTTAATTGTTGGGATACGTAAATTAAATTTATCTAAAATTGAGGTCTAATTTTGTAGAACTCCTAAGTATAGGCACAGAATGGGACTCAACAAAATGTTAGAAGTCGTAATTGGCCGACTTCTCCTCCTCTTCAAATCATATATTGTAAGAATCTCATGATGAATGAGGAATCAGAAATATAAGGTTGATCACCCCAACCATAACCGATTAATTTTGACTTTTCAGAGAGACAAAAGGGTTTACATTGTCTTACTTAATAGACATATCAAGAGCATTCCAGAAAGGAAAAAAAAAAAACATCCTTTTGAATTTTGTACACTAATACCCCCAAAATCATTAAGACTCCCAAATTGTGCAAAGATAAACCAAAAGTCAAACACTTGTAAGCAACTGAAATAAGGTCTACACAATGGGGAGTAATGGGGTCTATCAAACCTTGATCCTGCACAAATTGCTTTCCTTCTTACTTCAATGTCACAATGGCGATAGCCCGCGACTTCAACTTCATTACAATCTGCAAGAAACCAATATATATATATATATATATATATATATATATATATCAAATTTACATGAAGACAATATGACTCCAAACATCAAGACCACATCTTTAGTTTTCTCACCATAAACTCTCTCAAACAAAATTATAATCACATTCAGCGCAAAAGTGTGTTTAAACGAAATCAGATACCATTTCTAGCACAATACAACCTGTATCAGGTCTCTAGCTATGTTCTTTCTTCGATTTCAAGAATGCAAACCCATGTTTTTGTTTAAACATGCAAGACCCATTTGAAACCATTTCTTGGTTGTGAAACTTGTTATACAATGAACTTAGTTTTTACCTGGAAAAGTAAGGCGGCATGGTTAAGGATGGTTCTAATTACAAATGGCGAGCTTGGGGCTCCATTCACTTGACACTCCATAGTCAAGGCTGAGCTCAGTCATGGGAGGAATGTTCTCCGCGGCGAAAAGCATAACCCGAGGGAACATCATGTTGTTGTGATCATGGAGTACTAACTGAACAATGACATTAGGATCATTACTGTGGCTAATGTAACAAGCGACGTTCCTCATCTTCGACACATCCATTGCGAAATCAACAGGAGGAATCTGAGGGTACGAAGGCCGCTCGTAATCAGTAAAAACCTGAGTCAAATCTCCCCAAGCTTCCCATCTAGAAGAAGAGAACCGAGCAGGGTACACCAATGTATCACCATTCATGGTAACAATGTTTGCTTGTTCCCTTGTCAAAGCAACACCAACATACTCACAGATAAAAGCACCAGCATGTAATATATCCAAAGACCGAACCCCCCAACCTGTTTCCACCGACCTAAAGACTTCTAGTCTATTCCTCAAACCCTTTTGAGTAACGCGGTTTCGACAATTCGGAGGGCACATGCAAGCCGGTCCACACTCATGTATCATCTGTCTCTGCCTAATCAGGTTCCCATTGTAATCATAAGCAAACTCACCTCCGTTCTTGATAGCACAAAGGCAGCCACTGCTACAACCTGAGACACAGTTGCATCCACTTCCATTACCACTCCGTTGAAACAACAATCCAGGGGGAAAAGAAGCTTTCACAAGGTACTCGTAATACAAAGGCTCTTTATCGTCGTCAATGTCGTTAAACAGATAGACAGGGACATTCTCCTTCCTGTTGGAGATATCGAAGCTGATGTAACCTCTCGGTTTCACGGACAAAGGATCGGTTTTTAGAGTCTTGGCTAGCTTCATGACCGAGGTTCCCATCTCGGCTTGACCTTCGATCCTCTCAAGCCTAAACTTAAACACACCGAAGCCAGATTTCCCAACATCGAACCAAGAATCAACAATCCTAAACAGACCATCATAGACATAGACTTTGCTCGAAACGGAGTTCTCGTACTTAAACCCTCTAATAACTCTCACTTCAATCCCATAGTACATACTCCTCTCCATTGCGAGATTCCCACCTTCTAGCTTCTGATGTTCAGCTTGCCGACCGAGCTTATCTTGCCCACCATGTCCTGTGTACAAAATCACATCTCCTTGATCATCATCATCCTCATACCCACCTGAAACAATGACACTAGTAGCAATTGGCTCTCCGTTAGAGCTACGACTCCCTATGAGATAATCAATCCCAGCTTGTGTCTGTCCATGTAAACCCATAACGCAAAGCTCAAGCCTGAAGAAGAAGATGTCCCCAACTTGAACTCCGGGGATCGAACCGACGATCCGTTTGTCACGATTCAGCCACAATAACCGCTCTTTCATCATCGACGCAGCTTTACTATCCGGCCTTCCTCTCCTCCTTCCGATCCCAAGCCCTTCACGCCTTTCTTCCATTATCAAGTAGATCCTGAGGGAATCGTAGATCATCCTCGTCTTCCTCACTATCTCTCGGAACTGTCTCTCTCCTTCAGACCCAATATCGGTGATCCTCACAAGCTCAGACGAACGCTCCTGTGGCTTCGGCTTTCGGGTAACGACGGATTGTGAAGCTGAAGCGTCGTTGAGTGAGTAAGTAACTGGATTCGGGTCTTCCTCCACCGGTACGATTGCTCCGGTTAGAGAATCGAGAGAATCGATAACCGTGACGTCCTCGTGACGCCTGAGGCGATTAGCGAAAGCGGAACGGAAAGTCTCCGCGACATTGTTGAACTCCATGAACAAGCTGGGTTCGATGGAAGGATGAGCGGAGGGAGGTTGGACGGGGAGGTTGAAATTGAAGGTTGAGGATGATGGATTCGGGGCTTGTGGGTTAGATTCGGTTTCAGGCTCGAGCTTTGGGACCAGAGCGAGCGATGGGTTCAAGGAGGGAATGTGAGAAGTCATCTCTTTCAACGAGAAAGGTAGAAATGGGTAATAGAGGGAAATAGGGTTTTTTTAAGCGGGATCGAAGAAATAGGATTTTGATTTCAAGCTACAACCATGGCGGAGATGAAGCTTGCGTCAGTCTCTCGACTCGAACTCTTTCCCTACAAAGATTCATTGTGAGTTTTCTCAAAATTTGCTATGGAGAAAAACAATTCTCTGATCTAATACGGATTCAAACGATTATTCCAAAATTAGCATCTAGCAGGAAAAAGAACCCAAATATATTACCTATATTTTGAAATCAAAATCCAAGATCTCCTGCGATGAAATAGTGCTCTTTAGGCTCTGGGCTTTGAACGAACGTGTGTTTTGCTTGGTGCTGCCAAAGCTAAACACACCTACATGTATCTCTTAAATATTAATTATAAAATGGTATTTTTAAAAAATATTTTGTGTTATCTTCACAATCATTCTTAGAGCATTTCAATATATTATTTCTATTTTCATTCTAAAATAAAATAATTGTAAAACACAATTTAACTTTTGTTTTAAATATTATTCTATTTTCCATTTCAAAAGGAATAATTTAAGCATATTCTTTTTTCTATTTTATTAATTATGAAAACATATAATACAATTTGCCAAAAACTTATACAATTTAAAGGAAAAAATCTCTAATCTAATTAAGATTTAAACAATTATTCCAAAATAAGCATTTAGCTAAAAAAAATTTCAAATGTCTTACTTATAATTTAAAATTAAAATCTAAATCTTATACAATATTACTTTTTAGGTTCTACACTTTGAATGAAGATGTGGTTATTTGGTGCTTCAACAAGCAAACACACCTCGTTTAAAAAAAGATATTTAATTGTATAGTGATATTTTACAAAATGTTTATGTGCTAATATTGAGATCGAGAAGACATTTAAGAGGGAACTATATATTAATACATGTCGATATTTTTATTTATTTTTGTTTCCAAAAATAAATTATTTTATTTATAGTGATTTATGTATTTATAATGAGGATATCAAAAATAGATACATATATTAATGTTGAATATTTTAATATTATATGAGGCATCACTTACCTCTTTTCACTAATGATTTCAATGAGAGTTCAAGATTTGAATTTTCAATTTGAATTTTAAATACAACTTTTCGATATTATTGAAAACCCTAATTATACATACCACTACATGAATTTTTTCTACTTGAAAACACTAGTGTGCAAAAAGGGTATGCTGTAATCGATGGACACTACATGAAATTCATAAGTTTTGATAATGTTATCAATGGGATATTCAATCGTGATTTACCAATTCGTAAGTATTTTTGTTTGTTGTTTATAATTTAGATCTTTTTTTTACTTCATACTTACTTAACAAATTATTCTTTTTCGTCTTATTTTTTTAAATATTTTAGGTCGAATTTCTATGCTTACGGATATGGTCAAAGTAAAAGATACAGACTTTAGCCCATTGTGTCTAGCCAACACATGTCGTCTCTCATTTGCTATCCAGAATACATAATACATGTTAATTTAAAGTTGAATGAATATGTATCAATGCTTTTAATTTGTTATCTATCTTGAAGCAATGCAAAGTGTTGAATGTTTGTTAATATTTAAGTTTACCTATCACAGATTAACAAATCTAAATTGCATTGCTCATAGAAAATTTGCACTTGAAATTACAAAGAAATGGTGAAACTTCAGTTCCCTAGGTGATTTTCATGTTATCAATGTTGGAGGTATGTTTTAACATATAAATTTTGATGTTAATATTGTGTTGTTAAAAGTGTACACTTTTTGGTTTAACATGTGTTTCTTTTTATATAGAAAATGTTCAAATGATTGATGCTGTTGGTGATTTTATTCAGTTTTTTCCAAGCTGTTTCTTTTCTAAGTTGTTGTTTGATGTATGCTAATATAACTTCTTTATTATTTTTGAGAAATCTTAATTTGTGTAAAACCTGAAATGAAGGTGAAGATAGATTTACACTTACAATTGATTTGACATAAACTCGGTTACTAACTTCTTCAAATATTGACCTTTTGGAATCCAATTGCGATGATTTCATCATAACCTATATTAAGCATACAAATTAAGAGTTAGCTAAAGGACAATTTTACATGTATGAGAAAGAGATATTTAAAACCAGCTTACCAACATATGAACAGATTATTCCAATGGTGTCTACTTCAATTTTCTGTTTTGTATCTCCTCAAATGTTACTTTCAACCGACATTCATTCAATGATGACAAAAAAACCATTATTGGACTGAGTATTTTTTAACATACTTTAGGAAACTGATTTCAGATTTTGTATACTTATCTGAGGTAGTGATGTTGTGACATCTCAATGTAGATTAGTTCCTCCAACAAACTCGAAGACATGTTATGAAACATAAAAACATAAGAAGAAAGCAAAATTTCAGAACTCTATCAAAAAATGAAATAACAAAAATTTTTGTAGTTCGAAAACAATTATAATTTATATCTTCGATTAAGACAACTTCGTTCTTGAAATGCATTATATATCGTTTCTGTTAATTTATAGATAATTAATTTAGATAATCCGATTATCGAAACCTAACACTATTTTACTTCTTTGAATCTGATTATCAGATGATGAACAATATATAAAAAAAGAATATTATGTATCTGAATCAACGAAAGTAATCATTTAGTGGAAATCAAAACCATCGTTTAAAAAGTTGAGATCGAAAACTTTTAAATCATTTCTGTAAATGAAAAAGCAATGAAAGTTTCGATCTTTCCATATTTGGTATAGAATCTATTTATTTTTGTCCGCAGTAACATTGTATCATCTGTAGAACTTACTTGTTTTTGATAAATCTTCTAAACTTTCCCATGAAATCTTTAGCGCAAATTCCTCAATAGTCATCCTCACAACGAATTGCAGATGATGAACCAAGATATTGAGGAACGACAGAGTGTAGTGGATGGTCCGAACAAGATCTTTTGGAGATCTAATAAATTTCTTGGTTTCTCAATCGTTTCCGACAGAAGATCCTTTAGGAAAGCGAAGAGATTGAAGGCTGATTGGAAAATTATTGGACATGCACGAGTTTGGGCCATGAGATAAACAAGAAATGGCCCAAACAATGTGTTATACATAGAAACCCATTTAAAGAGACACCAACAATTTGTCTCGGCCCAACACAGCAAAAATTAATTTTAATTAATAGATCACTAGTGGAAGCCCCCTTAGCCCAATGGTTTAATAAAGGTTTATTACTGCTTCTATACCGGGAGGTCTGAGTTTCGAATCCCACAGAGCGTGATTTATTTTTAATTATGCAGATTAACGAAGAATGATGCAAGTTAATGGAGTCAAGCTTACAAGAGATCTTCAGTGTGGTGCAGGCAGAATCGCCAGGCGTAGATCGTCATATGATGGTGGTGCAGGATGCAGGTAGAACCGTTAGTCGTGGATCTTCATAAGACGGTAGAATTGACTGTTGTAGAATCGTCGATGTAACAGTTCTCATAATTTGTAATAGATTAATAAATCAGTATTAAAAAAAAAATTAATCAATCACTATTAATTCAATTTAATTGTTTTTTAAATATATTTCTAAAGTACCAATAAAATTGTTTTACAGAGTTATTTTAGAGAGTTGTAAGTATATATATAAATAATAATTGATTAATATCATTCTTAAAAATTATATTTATATGTGTTAATTGTAAGGTCATATTTTATTTAAAAACATTATTAACCCTTTATATTTGATAGTATGTGTATAATACATAATTTGAACATTTATAAGATCAACTTGAAGAATAATTTATCCATATAAAAATCATAAAATCAGATTTGACCCCATCATATAACTAAATAATCATAAAATCCGTATAATATGAACATAAAACCCCCTTATACAATATTATTTGAACATTTATATAATTAAATTAATGAATAATATACCTCTGATAAAATTATAAAATCATGAAACCATTATACATAATTTGTACATTTATAAGATCCACATTAAAGAGAATAATAAATATATATGAAAATCATAAATTAATATTTGAGCTTATTATATAACTAATTTATCATAAAATCCGTATAATAGAAACAATAAAATCCGTTATCCATACTTATTTGAACATATAAATAATTCACTTAATGAATAATATACTTCTCTGAAAATCATAAAATCATAAAATCTGTTAATTCTATTTTATAACTCAATAGTTAGTACACAATAAGGTTTTGTTATATATTTTGGATTTATAACAAACCCCCTATCTTTATAATATATATCCTTATATATTTATATTCAAACGCGCGGATCCAAAATCTAGTTTAAAATTAAAATCGAAATACTCTGCAATATTACCTTTTAGGTTCTACGCTTTGAATGAAGATGTGTTTATTTGGTGCTGCAACAAGCAAACACACCTCCTTTTAAAAAATATAATTAATTGTATGGTGATATTTTAGAAAATGTTTATGTGTTAATATTGAGATGGAGAAGACATTCAAAAGAGAACTATATATTAATACATGCCGATATTTTTGTTTCTTTTTGTTTCCAAAGATAGATTATTTATGTATTTATGACGAGGTTATCAAAAATAGATATGTATATTGATGTTGAATATTTTAATATTATACAAGAGGCATCACTTACGTCTTTTCACTAATCATTTCAATGAGAGTTTAAAATTTGAATTTTATATGCAACTTTTCGATATTAATTAAAACTCTAATTATCCATACCCGCTATAAATAATACTTTATAGCTAAAGTGATTTCATCACCCGAAACCTACTACTTCTCTTCTCTATTTTTTAAACTGTGAATTTTAGATTTCCGTTAAGTGGATACTTAGTTTCACAAAATCTAGGATCTAAATCAGTGGAGATCTAATTGGCACATATGTGTCATGGTTTTCAAGTGTTGGGAACTCCATTCTCAAAGGGAAACCGAGGTGCTAAATTTCATCTTCGTCGATGAAGAGGTATGTTTTATTTCATC